GCCAACGTTCTCCCCGTTCGCCTCTCCCCCCTTCTCCTGCCTGTCCCCTCACCTCCCCGTCCCGCTTCACGATAATGCCGTTGCCAGGCGTCGGCCGAGGCGAGCCGAGGCGGCCGAGGTGTGGCCGGGGCGGCCGAGGCGCGGCCAAGGTCCGGCCGAGGCAGCGGAGGGCTAGCCGAGCCGAGCCGAGTTTTAGTAGTTGCCCAGTTTTAGTCCAGTTGTTAAACTACAGCATAGGGGCCATTCCTGCTATTAGCGAACTGCAAGCCTAGCGCAAGAAATGCACGACCGTATCGGCAGACCTGGTGCGTTGCAGTCTGGGTTTTTGTTCTTTATTATTGTGCAGACTTGCGAGTGTCAAGTTTGATTTTGCAGTGGCAACAATCATAGTGGAGCTAGGAGCTATACTTCTCACTGGGTAACTTTGCCTACCCTGGAGATCCTGTATGCTTTTTCAGTAATAGAATGCAATGTCTTTCTCAAAACATCAGTGAGAAAGTTCAATGCCTTTTCCACCAGTGTTATCTGATCTTTTATTGATGAAATAAAAAAGAAACATATTTTTATACGACTCGGGTATTATACGAAGATGGAAGATGCCGTGCACTACAGTATGCTTCATCCGATCTGTGTACAGTGACTGCATTCTGTGTAATAAATGAGCTGGAAGGGTGCACCATATACTTTACAAAAATCATGAATATGCACCAGCGCTACACGAGAACATCTATATAATACATGCATACAGAATTTTCTGTACAGTTGTATTAGGATTGTCAAAATGCATTTTCGATTAATGCAAAAAAATATGAGTACACATTATGCGGTATCTTTCATCGTGTTCAAGGAACACCCAATACAGAATTGATTTGGGACAATTGTGTACAGTTTGGTTTTAGGGATTGGTTTGTGAGTGTGGGAAGCTGAAAAATTGGTGCATACAGCTGAAGATCGAGTGATTGTGGCTAATAAAGAAGGTCCTGGCAAAGCAATGCCGAATTGCCTCAATTCCTTTGAGCATTCGTTCATCAGGAAACATCGTTCTTACAATTCCAGACTTTTTCTACATGATTTGCCTAGTATGATCATATGCCTGCATAAATCTTAATTTTTATGCGTTTTTTTTGCATCTATGCAATGCAGAAAATGCATATTGACGAGAGGTTGTGTGTGTGTGTGTTTGTGTGTGCGTGTCTGTGTGTGTGCTGCACGTCGGTACTGATTTTTCATCTCGAAACCTACAAAAACTACAGGGCTGAAACTTTCGAAACTTTATCTACATGCGTATACGGGCCCTCATCTCCGAAATGAGCGCACTTACGGCGTGGCATCTGCGTACGGGCCGGACAAAGTTTTTTCGGGTATGTTGCTAATTCGGGAGCCTGACGAGGTAGAAGGCTGAAATTTTATGCGGATGCTTCCTGATATTTCTGGTGGCCAGCCTCAGTTCTTTTAGCTAGAAGCATTTGTTGGGAAAACCGGTGCCAGTAGCAACAAAAACTGCGGGGAACTATGCAAAAAACGCATTTTCGCATCAGCAGTCGGTGTATTGGCCAGTTCTTAAAAATTTAGGTTCTGGGCAACGATGACATCTGGGAATCTTTCTGTGGAATGTGTCGACGCTTGGAGAGGAAAGATAAAAAAGGAAAAAACTCGACTGTACTGGTAAAACTTGCAACAATTTCGGTGAATTTCTCATTTGGTCTGCTCTGAAGGATCGTCGGGATTTACTTCAGCAATGAAAAAAGAAGCTTTTCAAGTTGCAACGAACAGTTTTATTCTTGGAAAATTTCACTGAGATCTGGACTTTAAAGTCAAAGTAGTCTGCTGAAAGTGCCCTTGTATCGCGATGCTGTTTAGGATTGGCAACTACTACGATATGGACGTATATGATGACACGGAGTTAAGCGCAGAAACAGTAGACATTCTGGTGAGCAAGTGCGCCAACGTGCTCAGGATACTTCAGCCGAGTGACAGCCAGAAGCCAATAGTACTCTTCCTGCCGAATGTGATGCAACTTCCAATTGCTGTCTTGGCCGCTCTTCGGATCGGACGCATCTTCCTTCTAATTGTAATTTTTTGATTATCGTTGCTCTATTAGCTGTAGGTCCATCGTTGCACAGTTTGCGGCCTTTGCATGGTTTATGTCGTACTGTTCAGCCTGCTGACAATTTTGACGCTTGTTTCTGGGCGTTCTCTATCCTGAAGATACCAAAGATACCTGATGCGAAAGTCCTACGAAACGCCGACAGAAAAACTATATGTATGCGGATGGCTCGCGGCAATATCCTTCCAAGGAAAATTCTTCAGCTTACACAGCGACCGTCCCACACTCCTTCATGGAAATCCGCTATAAAAAGATATGGTTCTGACACATTCAGATTCAAGCTAAGGAGAGCTGCCGCACGACTAATAACTGCTGTAATATCAGTTATATCAATATCTAATAAGAGGAGCCATTCCGCTTCACCAGATCACTTGGAGTCCAGCAGGACACCACAGTTCGCCTTTCAGAATTCAGGATTGTTTCGATCCCATAGCTAACATTGTTTATTTGCAGAATGCAAGCATCACCCGAGAAGAATTATGCGACATATTAAAGAGCGCAAATGCGGAGACGATCATAACGGTAGATGGATTCTGGATGGGTACAAATCTGATTCGCACTAAAGAATACCTCGACGAAGCGATGAGAATTGCAGCTCTAGTACGCGTTACTTTATATCTTCCTCAAATAAGAGTGAGAGGAGGAAACTCGGAGTCCTATTAGTCCAGAAAGTTGTGACAGACAGCGTTTCTTTCGATTCGCCATCAGTTGCATCTTTAGGAAACAAATTCCACACGCAATATTGCGGTGAAGCTGGTCCATCTGGATAACTGTGACTGTCAGTACAAAGGTCCTGGTGTGCATGCTTTATATAATTCCAGCTCCTAATCGCACGCGAAGTTTGTTCTGTGTTTACAGCTAAGGGATGAAACATAAACTGCATCCTAACACGTTTTGCACATGACACTTAGGTCGATCTCTTATCTCTTATTCTAGTGTTGTATAGCAGTGGAATGCTAATTTTGATAACTTCATGTATATTGAAATTTCAACGCAAAGTGCTGCAGACAGAGGTGATCCGAAATGTGCTCGTGATCCGGCACGTTACTCCCAACGAAGGAGTACCACCACCGCGAGTGCACCTCGTGGCCAGGCGACCCTACTACCTTTACAAGGTAAGCAGGCCATTTTCAGCACACATCATCGCTTCTATCCGGCGAGAAATATTTTTCCTTATACTCACTAGGATGACCAGTGAATGCTCAACATCTAAGAGACAGATTCAACTTCACTTCTAGCCGACAAAGTAGGATGAATTAAAATGCTAGAAGAACCATTTTCAAGCCGAAAGAAGGCAAGGCCAATCGGACGGGGATGCGATATCTAACCAAGGAGCGACAAGGACAAATTGCTATCTCTTAGATGTTGAGCATTCTGCCGATTCGTAACAAGTGTATGTAAACAAGATTTGAGAATGTAACTTAGGCTAAAACGCACCAGGTTACTGGTGCGATCATACGTTTTGTGCACTATACTTGTAGCAATCAGATCGTTGACTACATGCACGGTTTTTGCTTTACATTTACCTTGTGCGCTCACCAGCGTAAATCGTCGTAAATTTTTGCATAAAAGAAAATGAACAACTCCCGCTTAACGGTCTTTCTTTGATAATGACCTCGCTGTCCAGTGAGCAACTGTCCTGCCAAAATTTTCACGTGCCCGTACGTAAGTGCCATACACATCTGGAGACTGAATTTGAAATCTTTATGTTCTGTGTTGACGGAAATATCTCCTCAGAATTTCAGCTTTCTAACTTTCTTAGTTCTCAAGTAGCAGATTTCCCACCAAAGATTTTCACGGGTCCATAAATGACAACACACACACCAATTTGAAATCCTTAAGTTTTATGGAGGCGGGAACACTCCCTTATAATTTCAGCGTCTTAGCTTTTCTGGTCCCCGAGTTAGCGATTTTCCTGCCAAAACTTTCACATGCTCGCACCGGGGCCCAGATATGCGTGAAAATTGATATCGGGATCCTGGAGTGGCACTTGGTCGTGAGCCCACTGGCAAAATTTCAGCGCCGGAGCTTGTTTGGTTGCCCACTTGGGATACTCGGACAGACAGACATACACACATTCACACATGCGCGCACACACACAAACATACACACACACTGAGGTCTTCACAGTATGCGTTTTTACATTTGCATATATACAACCCAGGCTGGAACGCACTGGACGGGCCCGTGCGATCATGCGTTTTTGCACAGGACTTGAAGTA